GTGCTGCTGCTCCCTGAGATTTTACAGGACGGCTTCATAGTCTCAACCCAGATAGCAAACTGACATTGAATCAACGTGGAAATATGACATCGAAACAACGTTGATCTGACATTGTTTTGCTCATCGAATTAACGTTGAACCAACGTCAGACGCGTCATTCTTTCAAAACTAATGGAAAATCAACTTGAAATCAACGCGTTGTTTCAACGTTATGAAAGCAAACCAATTTTTGATTTTCATTTAGCTTTGAAGAATGCCGCGTCTGACGTTGGTTCAACGTTAATTCGATGAGCAAAATCAACGTTGTTTCATCATCTCATGACGAGAGACGTCGTTTCCACGTTGATTCAATGTCAGTTTGCTGTCTGGGAACATTGGCGTTCACACATGGTATCAGTTACGCTCTCTGTGTGTGTGTTTGTGTGTGTGTTTGTTTATGTGCTGGCTCATTTCCCTCATCTCAGCGCTCTCCAGATGTGTGTTGCCGTTTGAACTGGATGCCACAAGCACAACACAAAGCTGTGCTTGTTTGTGTCTCTGTAGGTGGGCTCTGGTCATATCAGGCTCTGATTCTGCTGGATATTAAAATAAACGGGTCTAGCGGGGGCTGATGTCATGGAGAGAGAGAGGGGTCACCCCGCAGAGGTCAGAGGGCAGAATGCTCTCTCAGAGTTGCTTGTCTTGAGGTTTAAGGAGCCCGACTGACGGCCTGTTTCTCATTTCCTGTGAGATGTGCCGGGGGTGATGCTCTAATTTTCACTCTCACTCTCTCTTTTCATTTTTCCCGTTGAGTCTACGTCTGCATCCATGCTCAGTCATAGTTTGGGGGTTTTGATTTTTTTTGCAGTCTACTGAAAGAACTCGCACTGACAATAAAGTCAACCATTTTTGGGATTTTTTTGGGATCTGTTATGATCGCAGTACCTTGTTTTTTACATTGTAGCATATTAGTAGGTGGTGTTCTCAGATGTACCTCTGAATAACGCATTTTTATCCTATACCATAATTTTACCATAGCAACATGACATCATGACTTTTACGTAAACATACACGCCACTTTTGAGTCAAGTGGCGTGTTATCTCTACGCATTTTGAGCTATCCGCGTGTATGTCTACGCCATTAACGTCCGAGTGATTACGCGTGTATGTACACGCCGTCAAATGTCCGCGCGAAACGAAGCAAAATGTAGATCTACATCTGGGGAGCGATATTTTTTTTTTCCTAGGATGGTAAGGGAAGACTCGTACGTTTAGGGACGGGGTTGAGGTAAGTCATATATTATATAACGTTAAGTCAACGGCGTTCATAAACACGCTGAAAAGCGATTATGCGTCTTGATAGCACGCCAAAAATGGAAATACGAATTGGCGTGTCATACACACGCTACTTCATGAGATCAGTCTGACCACAGTACTTTTTGCCCACTAGACTACTTAATGGCAAGAGGAAGCTATTATTACATTCCTATTAAATGACTGCATTTATGTGAATTAATACTCACTGTTTTGACCTCAGCTAGCTAAACTAATGACTCTGACGACCCGAGCCAGTGTTGTAGTCGAGACCACCTCACTCGAGTCCGAGTCGACACCGAGACCAGAGAGAATCGAGTCCGAGTCAAGACCGAGTCCATAGAGAGTCGAGTCCGAGACCAGAGACGGTCGAGTCCGAGTCGAGACCGAGACCAGAGAGAGTCGAGTTCGAGTCGAGACCGAGACCAGTGAGGGTTGATTACCTAATTTACTTTTATTTACTTAGAGAAATCCTTTTTTTTTTTTTTTTTTTTTTTTTACTGAATTTACTTAGAGTTTAAAAAATATGATCAGTTAGGGTAAAAAGGCCACATAGCAGGTGGTGTTAAAAGTAATTTTATTACAATTTGTCATGCGCAGTTGCGCACTAGAAAATCACCAATCACTGGGCGTGTCAATCAATTTAAAGAAATATTTTATTAACGTACATTAATAATCATGAAAAATATTTTTAATTGAACTCGAGTGGACTCGGGAATAAGTCCGAGTCCTAAAAAAAAAATGTTCGAGTACGAGTCAATTCCGAGTCCAAATGGACACGAGTCCATGACAAGACCAAGACAATTAAAATATGGTCTCAAGACTGTGTCCGAGACGAGTCCGAGTCTCGAGTACTACAACACTGACCCGAGCATTATTAATTTTTGCTGCTCAGAATGAAGTGCTTCTTGAACACTCAGTACTGACTGAGCTGAAGAGGTTGCCATGATGTTAGATGATACAGGAAGCATAATTATATATATTTATATACACAGACACAGAATAAAACCTCATTTAAGGGACATGAATTTTCCTGACATTATTATTATTTTTTTTTTTAAACAATTAAGCAGATTTTCCCCAATATAATATAATGCAATACACTACTGTTCAAATGTTTGGGGTCAGTAAGATTTATTTAATGTTTTTGAAAGAAGTCTCTTCTGCTCACCAAGGCTGCATTTTGAACAGCAGTGTATAATGCTGCGTTCAAGTCCTCCTGGGAAGTTCGTACGTACGAGGTGGGAAGTCGTGTTTACGACGTGAGGTTTCGTCGGAGCAAAATGGCGGTGTACCTTCTTTTAATGAATTACACGAAAATACAGCAAGGTTTGTTAACTCTGCTAATAAAAAAATGAAGAACAAAGAGTGCGCATCAGGTGTGTTTTTCTTTTTGTGTTTTTTATTAGCTTATGAAGCCAATGTAAACTCTATCGTTAGGTATAATTTTTATATTATAATGATATCATATTTTGTGCAGAGAGCTTGCTTTATAAATGAAAAAGCCTTACAATGTCAACGAGTAAACATTGAAATTCAATTAAAATGTACCGTCAACAGACGTTGAATGAACGTTTCTCACTGACACGCCCCCAACTCGTACAGATCGGGGCTTAAAGAAAATCCCGAGCTCCCCACTGCTATTTACAACATTGTGGTGGCGTTCAAGTGCGTTCAACTCGTAATTACGATCTATACGAGACTTGAACACAGCATAAGACACTCACCTAAAGGATTATTAGGAACACCTGTTCAATTTCTCATTAATGCAATTATCTAATCAACCAATCACATGGCAGTTTGTTCAATGCATTTAGGGGTGTGTTCCTGGTCAAGACAATCTCCTGAACTCCAAACTGAATGTCAGAATGGGAAAGAAAGGCGATTTAAGCGATTTTGAGCGTGGCATGGTTGTTGGTGTCTGAGTATTTCACAATCTGCTCAGTTACTGGGGTTTTCACACACAACCATTTCTAGGGTTTACAAAGAATGGAGTGAAAAGGGAAAAACATCCAGTATGCGGCAGTCCTGTGGGCCAAAACGCCTTGTTGATGCGCGAGGTCAGAGGAGAATGGGCCGACTGATTCAAGCTGATAGAAGAGCAACTTTGACTGAAATAACCACTCGTTACAACCGAGGTATGCAGCAAAGCATTTGTGAAGAAGACACAACACACACAACCTTGAGGCGGATGGGCTACAACAGCAGAAGACCCCACCGGGTACCACTCATCTCCACTACAAATAGGAAAAAGAGGCCACAATTAGCAAGAGCTCACCAAAACTGGACAGTTGAAGACTGGAAAAATGTTGCCTGGTCTGATGAGTCTGGATTTCAGATGGTAGAGTCAGAATTTGGCGTAAACAGAATGAGAACATGGATCCATCATGCCTTGTTCCCACTGTGCAGGCTGGTGGTGGTGGTGTAATGGTGTGGGGGATGTTTTCTTGGCACACTTTAGGCCCCTTAGTGCCAATTGGGCATCGTTCAAATGCGCATTGATTGATTGACTGAGCATTGTTTCTGACCATGTCCATCCCTTTATGGCCACCATGTCCCCATCCTCTGATGGCTACTTCCAGCAGGATAATGCACCATGTCACAAAGCTGGAATCATTTCAAATTGGTTTCTTGAACATGTCAATGAGTTGACTGTACTAAAATGGCCCCCACAGTCACCAGATCTCAACCCAAATAGAGCATCTTTGGGATGTGGTGGAACGGGAGCTTCGTGCCCTGGATGTGCATCCCACAAATCTCCATCAACTGCAAGATGCTATCCTATCAATTTGAGCCAACATTTCTAAAGAATGCTTTAGAAAAAAAAGGGGGTCAAACACAGTATTAGTATGGTGTTCCTAATAATCATTTAGGTGAGTGTATATTTGTGTAGTACTTGCATTAAAAAATAGTCTTAAATAGACTTAACTGCCATGAAAATACTGTGAAGATACTGACAAATCTTAATGGTCCATAAATAGGCTTCATTTTGTGTAAGCAAAAAATATCATAATTTCTTATTGTTCCTATTGATTTTGGCATGAAATATGGCATTTCTTGGGCAATTTGCCCAAATTTAATTTCTAGCTGCCCGGACAGCCGCAGTGCTGAAAAATCAATAGTTTTTTCACGTGTTGGTCTGGAGACAAACGTCTCCCCTCGTTCCTTTGGACATGAGCAGTCAGAACGTATAAAAGTGGAACACGCAAGACATTTTGATGTTTTCTTTGAGTAGGATTCGATGTGAATGCCGTATGAGTCTGGGGTGTGTTGGAGAGATGAGCTCTGACCTCTACTCGCAGGGCACCGCTGTAAACCCAGCCGAATCTGAGGAGATTTATTTTCCGTTGAAGTGTAGGAGCGTGTGGGAGTATGAATGTGTGTGTGTGTGGGCGCGTGTGTGAATAAAAAGCCAGGATTGGATGCAAAAACACATGGTGAAGTGTTGTTCTCCCCAGTGAAGCTTCAGCTCATCCCTCAGTGTGCTGGACTGATTTAACTGTACTGATTTGCCCTCCAGCGTAACGTTACCCAAAAACAGCCAAAGACCTGCAGAGGAGAATGCGCTCTACTTCATTCAGCGAGGGGAGAAATGTGTGTGTGTGTGTGTGTGGTTTCATCAATAACCACTGCGTCTTGAACATGTTTTCGACCTTTTCTTGAAATCAGACACGTTTGCTGACCCTTGCTCCTGTTTGTGTCTTCAGCTCTTGGCCTATGGAGGCATGCTGGTGTATACGGTCTCTTACGACTCCGAAAGCAAAGACGACAGCGCTCCTGATGTCATCATAGAGGTACGTATCCAATCGCAAACGCATTCACACTGACTGGATTTAAAAGGTGATTCACTGACATATGCAGGCAGACTTCCCATTTTAGGCCTCAAAACTTAACACAATTTTCCCCTCCAGCTATTTAATTGGAAACGTTCACTTGGCCTCTTTAAGTCAACTTTTGGTCAGAAGTTCGTGAAAAGATTTATTTTAATGTAACCGTATTTAAATGGTTACATCATGCTAACAAAATCGACTGTAAAAAAATCTAAACGTAAAAGATGTGCTGTAACGTATGTCCATCGAAGGCAAGTTGTCGAACCCAAGTGCAGTTTATTATTCAAAAAGATCAAACATAAAACAAAGGCGCTACCAACAGTTGTACAGGGAAACAATACTTGACAAAGATACATTAGGCCTTAAATATACAAGGACTAATGACAAGACAAGGCACACCTGTGAACAATGAAGCAATAAACCAATTACAACATGACACCCCAGACAGCAAACTGACATTGAATCAACGTGGAAACGACGTCTCTCATGACATCGAAACAACGTTGATTTTGCTCATCGAATTAACGTTGAACCAACGTCAGACGCGGCATTCTTCAAAGCTAAATAAAAATCGAAAATTGGTTTGCTTTCATAACGTTGAAACAACGCGTTGATTTCAAGTTGATTTTCCGTTAGTTTTGAAAGAATGACGCGTCTGACGTTGGTTCAACGTTAATTCGATGAGCAAAACAATGTCAGATCAACGTTGTTTCGATGTCATATTTCCACGTTGATTCAATGTCAGTTTGCTATCTGGGACATAAGACAAGGGAACACATGGTAGAATCACATGACTATAACAGGGAATCACATGACAACAGGAAACATGACAGAGACATGAACCCTGATTTTGCCTGTTCTGCGTGAAATGTGTAGCACAGATTTGTAAATTCAAGTTCAAAAGTTCCTTTTATTTAGTCTTACTACACTGTATTCAGCACAAACTCTGCTACATTAATATATCAGCAGCATGTACGCACAAGTTTTAGTTTTGAGATAATGACGAAATGCGTGGTTTGTGGAAAAAAACGAACAAAAAACATCGTCACTGAAACAAGGTCATGAAACCCATACTGATTATTTCTTCACAAGACTTGTATCACATGGCCTAGAATATTAACTCCAAAACTATGTGAAAATCATCCTGCATACTCATTCAGATAAGACAATATATTGATTTAAAACTTGTAAGACAAATTTTGTGTAAGAAAGCTTTATGCCCCATTAATCAGTCCCTCCAGAAAAAACGCGATTATGCGATCGCTGAATTCAATGCAAAATCAGCCAAAGTCCGCATATTTATGCGGGGGCCGCATTTTTTTCAAATACGCCGCACTTTCGCCGCATAAATTGCAGATTTCCGTGCAAAATATGCGGGGTTTGCATAATTTCATAATCCTCGCATTTTCGTTGCAAAAAAAGTCACTTGTATCTTAGCAGAAAGTTGAAAAATGTTGCGTTTGCTTCACACAAGAGCAGCCATTTCCCCCTGTTTCCATGGGAACGTTATGAAGTGACGCAATTACGCGACGCCAGACAGACTCACGGAGGCGATTGACATCTCACAAATCGAACTCGTATAACTGTCTGTCACACGTTCTACCGTCACATCGTTACTTAATAAACAACATAAGATAAAAGAAGTAGCATCAAACACACATGGGGTGTTCGAGACGCACATATAACACTGCAGAGAGTTCAACAGGGAACGCGCAGCTCTTAAAGGGGCCACACCTTATTTACACTCGTTACAGTCTGAAATAAAACAAGATGAGAAATTAAATATTCCCAGCATTTTCTATGATGATGTATGCTTGCTTATCAAAGGAAGTAATAAGAAATGACTCTCACATTAGCCTAGTGAGAACAGGGTGTTGGGGGAATCACTTTTTTTCTCTTTTTCATCAAACCGCAATTTTTGCAAGTTCCCTCAATTTTTGCAAATTCCTGCAATTTCATCGCATAAATATCCCGCATATTCCATCGCATTTTTAAAGAAAACGGGCCGCGTAATCAATCAATTTTTGCCCGCAACAATCACAAAAAACTCCGCGTTTTTCTGGAAGAACTGAATACTATTATGATAAATGTTATATATAAATCGCACATTTTTTCACAAATTTTGGGAAATTACCACCACAAAATCAGTCATTTTGATCGCAAAAATCACAAAAAAAAATCGTGAAATCCTGGAGGGACTGATTAATATTGAGTGTTTCACGCCTGAGAAAGACAAAGACCCGCCACTAATGGCCCTCTCGGGTGCTCTCAGGCCCTATCATTATGAGGAGCCTTGCATAAACGGTTTAGAATAATAATAATAATAATAAAAAAATAAAACAAAATACAGTAACAGTTGGACGAACAGTGGCACGGTGTTCATTCAGTAAATTATGAGATAATTAAACTATGTTACTCCCCTTAACTAAGACGAGTTGATACACACCTCTCTCGTCTCAATCGCTCTAGCGCTAGACACTTGTTAGCACTTAGCTTAGCCCAGTTCATTCATTAGGATCCAAGCAGAGAAGTGACCAAACACCTCCAGCTATTTAAATACAGTAACACGAGTAGAGTAACTCGACCAAAATAAAACGTTGCGCTTTCCAACTATATTGTATGGAGGAATACCACAGCAAGCGATTGGGAGCACTTTGACTCGACGCATATATATCTATCGACTCGGAGCAGTAATTTCATCACTCCAGAGAGGGAGAGGACTTTTCACGAGTGATATTACTGCGCCAATATATGTATATTTGTGTTCCCAAGCACGTGCATTTAAAAATAGAGACTTCAAGCTTTGTAAAGACAAATGTTTCATGTATGTGTAGGAAGAATTGTCTGAGTTACAGATCATTTTCTGCATCACTGTATCACCCTATCAATGCATTGTTGTATGTCAACATGGTGTGTGTGCTGTAACAGTGTGTTAGAGAGAGATCGCATTACCTGAGCCCGGCCCAACAATTCACCTTTGGCTAAGCCACGCCCTAGAATGCAGATTGACCAATCACAGCGCAGCCAAGAACGAGCTCCCACAGAGGTTCGACACTTTTTCACACTTTTTCAGTGCTCCATTGACTTTCAACACAGGCGTCTCATGTTTTTGGTCTCGGCAGGCTATTACCGTCGTAGTTTTATCAGAAATATGGTTAAACGTTGTGCCTGGGGCATTTGTAACACAGATACGCGTTTCCCAGAGAGGTTGGAGGGGGTGTCCGTTTTTTTCCCTTCCCAAAACCGAAGTCAAATCCTGACAGTGACAAGTGTCGTCTTTGAATTGACCCTTCGCTAAGCCCCGCCCTCCCTAGTTACTGTTGCTACGCCTGTCAAGCTTTCGCGGCTGGCCCATCTATTATAGTGTGGATGCACCCGGTGTCAGACATCCCAATGAGATAATTAGTAATTTTCGGCGAACAAGTGAAATATCTGAGAAAGCAAGACAAAAGGGACTACAGTATGCATTCGAGGGATATATTCACGACATTATATGCAACCGATTAGAGAATAATTTCTTAAAAATTGAAGTTAAAGCCTAACGTTATTCCGGCGCAAGCAGCAGCGCCTCATACGCTGACCGTATGGGAAACACAAATTAAGGAACAGCTATGTTCATGCACAGCAGGGTATGTGAAAATAATCTTAATAATTATAAATCAAACAGCTTATCAATAAATCTTGTGGAACAACACTAATACCGGGAGAGCCGCGATCGGATTGGGTTAAGTTAAGGGGTAACGTTAGTAGGACGTCGATTAACAAAATCCTGAAATATATTTTAAAGTAAGTCAGTGAGCCTTTGTCTTGTCTCTTTAATCGTCTTATTTTACGTTATATCATTATGACCAAAGAACCGTCAATATTTCCAAGCAATGGGTGTTTTTGTTAAGCATGTCGACATTTACCAGAATGGGTCTCGCACATAGACGCTAGATCACGCCAATCATTTCTCCCCTTGGCTTTTAGATTTTCTGGAAGGAAAACAATTCCTCTCCCCCGTCCAAACTTTTAGTATACCGGTATCAGATTTGCACAATCCATACGCACAATGCTTCAGCATGCTCCCTCGTTCGAAAGCTTGCCAGACCTCCCGCGCATAGTTACGGTTGCTTAGACATGATTGGCCAGTGGCGGTTTTCGGGCGTGGCTTAGCGAAGGGTCAATTAAACTGTGTGGACGTCCTCAGTCAGCTAAACCCCGCAAAGATCAACAAGCACATCTTTTTTTACTTCTAACCTTACTGTGAAGTTATAGTTAGACAGTTTTATAATGTTTTAGGTTATGATTTCGGTTCTCACACCGGTTGTTGATACGCTAGCACACGCTGCTAATAAATACAACGTTATACTCGTGTAGTCCGTTTGCTTTGTAATAACGATTATAGAAGTGAATAGAGACCTACCCAGCTTTGCATGAACAGTGTTGCTCCCTGAGATTGTTAGTCCCAGCCTCCGTCTTCATTAGTAGGATATGTGGTGGTTAATTTTTTGACTGTGACTGGTAACGTTATGCTTTTGCCTCTATTTTGGATGCCTTGTTGTTTCTTGCGTTTGTATGTCTTGAATTTAGCCTTCGAACGCATATTGCAGCCCCTTTTGCCTACTTCTATCGGATACTTTATATGATGCTTTATCCACAAGTTTCCTACGCCCCATGAGGCCTTGCGTCAAAAGTGGGCGCGACTTCCGGTTGGAAGTAAACAAAGCGCGATTTGACAAGCTTGACACTCGTTCATTCAACAGTTGACAGTCATTCAAGTTATAGCGATCCAAACTAGCTAACGATGTGGGAACACAACCTCAACCAAATTAAAAAGGGTGAAATAACAGTAACTTTTACCCTCCGCAGTAGTTGATTGGGAGTATTATAATAACATTATTAATAATCAATACTCATCAAGGCATGGTGACAGACAGTTGTGCGAGCTGACAAACAATTAAAATAAAAAATACATACTTAGTCATTGTGCTTTGGAGTTTATTCAAAATTATAAATGAATGTGCTGCTTGAATACATTAACTGGCACATTTGGTATTCTGTCAACACAGGCTTTGATCCTGAGTTTAGGTGTAACATCAGTAGCGAACAGCCAATCACATGCTGAGAGAGTTTATGGAATATTAAGAATTTAAAAAAATGTACACAGGAAGATTCGTCGTCTTTTGGGAGGTGATGGAAACTACAGTCGTTGGCAGGATCACTCTGATTTCGTTTTCAGCTTATGTTCAAAACAATCCCGTTTAAGCCACTGAATTAGTTTAGTCCGGTTATACATACAACCGCGAACAGCACATGTTGTCCCTGAGCTCCGTAACGACATCTCTCATAAAGATTTGCGTCTTTAAATAGTAAAATAATTCTCCGAAAAACAGCTAGCCTCTTCGCTAACTAACACACAAAACACCATTGGAATGCTACTTCCGCCGCGTCACCGGAAGTTTCACCCACTTTATTTTTTACAGGAGCGCCCCTCGGAAACTTGTGGATAAAAGTTTGATAACATTTCAGCAGGAAGAGCTGTTACAGCATAAGCCATGCAGAGCGCAGATGAAGTTTGACGGATGTAGCAACAGTAACTAAGGGGGGCGGGGCTTAGCCAAAGGTGAATCACGGCATTCAGGAACACTTCGGCTCATCTATGGAGTCATCATGTGGGCGTCAGGAGCACAGCGTGCTCGTCTTTGTTTTGTCTACAATTGGTCAGAATTATAGTGTGTAACTGGACTGAAGCTGTTTATGTCTGTGAGTGTGTTTGTTTACGTGCATGTGTGTGTGCAGCTGTGTTTATGTTTGCGCGAACCTTTTCACGAGCTCACGGGAACGCTCACGTCTGGGCGTGTGTATTTTGTGTGCTCGAGTATGCGTTCGCACACCTGTTTGCGTGCAAGCAAGAATTTGTTTAATTCGTCTCGGCTCAGCTCAGTCGTACACTTCTTTATTTAGTCTCCGCTGGAAAGCGCTCTCATAATATTTGGTTTATTCATGCCGTGTTAAAGATTTCTTTTTTCCTTTCTGGGTCTCAACTACATGTAAATCAGTGTGACTGTCCTGCAGAGTCAAGCTTATCATTACAAATTTTACTCTATCCTATTCCTATATTTTGTATTTTACTTTTATATTTTACATGAGCTACTGTAACAAAGGAATTTGCACAGTGTGGGATTAATCTTATCTAATATTAGATCACTTTTTTATATTTTATAGTGGGATCATAGGGTGAAAAGTAGACAAATATTTTTTTTTTGTATAGCTGTATATTGTACACACTGAAAAGAAATTGTGTAGAATTTACTTGGGAATTATTTGAAATTGCTAGTAAATTTCGCACATCACTATAAAGAAACTGCAAGGAAAGCATTGAATCAAATGTGACATTTTGAAATTAGTATTTTCTTGTAAAACGTGATGACAGCTTTACTGTATTGTATTTCAACAATGTGTCTATTTTTGATTGATTGATTGAGTGCTATCTTTATTTTGAACCTGTAAATCTTTTTTTTTTTTATCTGAGGAAAAAAATAATAATGGTAAAAAACAAAACAAAATAAAACTCTATACTTTCCAGTACTTTAAAAAAAAAACTCTATTTGCATTTACAAAAAGGAGTAGAAGTTAAATTGATATACTCTGACCTCTTTACACCATTACTACTATATTTAAGGAAATGGCTACAAAACTAATAAATCGACAGAGATCATAAATCTATAATCAATGAAAATATAAATTCAATATTACACATACACAACAATATTTATACACATACTACAAATGATTCAATATCGTCTCAGGTTATTATCAGCACCGTGTACCGCTGGAATATCATTTCTTTGCAGTATGTTTGTACATTGCTTTAACTCATTATCTAATTTTATACTGACAGAATTTTCTTTTTATAATTCTCTAATAAAATATTAGGAAGAACGTCTAAAAAACTCCATTAGGTTTACTAAGATCTGAACGATTTCCTCCACATATTTAATTATGTCCCCATCAAACATGAAAACCCAGTGTGTGTGTGTGTGTGTGCAGTTTCTATGCTGACGTTGTGTTAATTTTCTGTCCTTTGTAGATTTAAAGGAAATGTTAGTATGATGCGAGGCTGCATGTGTGTGTCTGTTTGCATGTGTTGAGGTGTGTGTGTGTGGCTCCCATGCTCATGTGTGTATGACAGGTAATTATTGTTCGTTAAGCCCTGTTTTGCATGTGCATACCTCATTAACTCTGTGCAAATAGAGAGTCCAGCTCCCATAAATCCTCAATCTTCTAGCGGTGTGTGTGTGTGTGTGTGTGTGTGTGTGCATGTCAATAAAGCCTGATTTTCCCAGCAGTCAGTATGGTGGGGTGGTAAATAAACGAGCTGAATGAATCGCGTCCCATAATGCTCCAGGATGAGTCCAGAGCTGAGATATATGGATTACCTGTTATTGCATCAATGCACACACACACACACACGCACAATTTTAAACATCATTTCCTGAAAATTTTCATCCTTCCATCAAAACAGTCTCTCAGTTTTTATGCACATCGCCTCTTCATAAATCACCCTGTCCTCAAACGTACACACGCACACACACACACACACACACATGAAGACTACTAGTTTTCTATAAAGATATTTATATTGACTAACCTAATTCATAATTTTCTTCTTAGAATTTAAAAAACTAAATTTATTCCATTTACGAATTGTTTTTCCAAATGAAAATGTTCCTACATGGGAGGTTTTCTCATATTAGCTTCCTTGTGGGGTAAATTTGACAGGTGAACACACACACACACACACACGCACACATTTACTTGGTTTGAGAACATACCAAAAACCAGTTGTTTGTATAAAGCTGATTATAATAACTATAGAGGTCATGTCTTGAAAAGAAGGTTTTGTTATGAACTATTGACAAATAATGGGGACAGATTAAAGCTAAGTAAACATATGAATGTTCTCTGGTCAGTTTAGCTGTTTAGCATGTGCTGAGGGCCAGCAGGAGCGCTTGACGTGTCCCTCTCTCTGCAGGGCGGTGGGCTGAGACTGACGGCCAGGCCCGCGGGCTCTCGCTTCTCCTCAGCCGAGCGCAGGATACACCTCCTGCCGGAGAGATTCCAGCATCACGCCTCAGGACTGGCCGTCAGCAAGAGAGACTTCCACAGCGTCCTGCACAGCGTCCAGCGTCTGCTCCTCAGGGCCTCGCACGCTCAGGAGCACAGCGCCATCTACAGGTGTGCTCCACTACTGCAGGCTTCCTCTCTCTCTCTCGCACACACACACTTGGGTTGTTTTAACCCCACTTTGGGTCAAATATCCCAGCCACATTGGGTTACATTTTTTTAAATGCCATTTTTAAACCAAAATTTGGTTACAACAACCTAACGTTTTATCAGTCCCTCCAGGATTTCACGATTTTTTTTTTTGTGATTTTTGCGATCAAAATGACTGATTTTGTGGTGGTAATTTCCAAAAATTTGTGAAAAATTTGCGATTTATATATAACATTTACCATTATAGTATTCAGTCCTTCCAGAAAAACGCGGAGTTTTTTTGTGATTGTTGCGGGCAAAAATTGATTGATTATGCGGCCCATTTTCTTTAAAAATGCGATGGAATATGCGGGATATTCATGCAATGAAATTGCAGGAATTTGCAAAAATTGCGGTTTGATGAAAAAGAGAAAAAAAGTGATTCCCCCAACATCCTGTTCTCACTAGGCTAATGTAAGAGTCATTTCTTATTACTTCCTTTGATAAGCAAGCATACATCATCATAGAAAGTGCTGGGAATATTTAATTTCTCATCTTGTTTTATTTCAGACTGTAACGAGTGTAAATAAGGTGTGGCCCCTTTAAGAGCTGCGCGTTCCCTGTTGAACTCTCTGCAGTGTTATATGTGCGTCTCGAACACCCCATGTGTGTTTGATGCTACTTCTTTTATCTTATGTTGTTTATTAAGTAACGATGTGACGGTAGAACGTGTGACAGACAGTTATACGAGTTCGATTTGTGAGATGTCAATCGCCTCCGTGAGTCTGTCTGGCGTCGCGTAATTGCTTCACTTCATAACGTTCCCATGGAAACAGGGGGAAATGGCTGCTCTTGTGTGAAGCAAACGCAACATTTTTCAACTTTTTGCTAAGATACATGTGACTTTTTTTGCAACGAAAATGTGAGGATTATGAAGTAATGCAAACCCCGCATATTTTGCACGGAAATCGGCAATTTATGCGGCGAAAGTGCGGCGTATTTGAAAAAATCTGGCCCTCGCATAAATATGCGGACTTTGGCTGATTTTGCATTGAATTCAGCGATCGCATAATCGCGTTTTTCTGGAGGGACTGGTATATATTCACACACAAATCACAACCATGGGGAAACGCAGCAGAAACTAGTCTGCTGCATATTGATTCTCATAAACAGAAATCGCGATGCAAACAGGTCGTCATGACAACAGCAACATTTAAGGTTTCATGCAGAATCACGATGCGGTGTTTTGACCGAACCCAACCTGTCGTTACAGTCATTCGTCCAGCTATATTCTGACGTCATGTGATTAAAGGTACAATATGTAAGAATTTTGTAATAAAATCTCCAAACAGTGTGATATTTTTCCTGCATTTGTGAACTTACAATATCTCTAAAAAGTAAAGATTTTTTGAGACCGACGGCATCGTCGACGACGCCACAGGCCACCTCCGATAAATGTTTACATAACTCGATGACAGATTTATCGATTTTCTTACCGTTTTTTCCAACAGAAAGCTAATGAGCTAGCCATCACAGGGGTGTCTTTGGTGTCTTTCTAGCCTTTACAGAAGGTTTTCTATTCAGCCTGGAACTTGTGCATCCTTTCAGAGGTTTTTTAGCAATAAATCCAATCGCGTATATCAAACTTTGATACTCTTGAAGTCCATAATTTATAAATATTCCGCCATTTTTGCCGCTAGCTTGATGCTAGCTGCCATTTTGGATATCACGTGATGTTTTCTCGTGACGGTTTTTAACCAATTACAGGCTGATCCGTCGTAAACATTGGTGTGCGTCATTACGCATGAACCAAGCGCTGATATAGTGGAGAGAGATAGAGACGCACGGAGACGCGCGATTCACAGAGAAAAGAAGATGTAAATAAAGCGCTGGCCTTTTTTGCTGCCATGCCATGCAGGATGATGGATTTTCAGGAGAACAGAGCTTTTTGACAGATGAGGAACTAGATTACCAGGATAGACCCAGCTGAAGTGCCATTTATTTATTTACTGTAAAAAAAAGTATTATTGTAGAATAAAAGTAGTATAAAAAGAATACAATAAATAAAAGAATAAATAAAATAGAAATGCAAAGCCTGTGATGTGGCGCTCTGTGTGATTGCTGATAGGAACTGTTTTGAGGCTTGGCACCAGTGAATTTCATGAGGCCCAAAACGCCTGGACTTCTTTTGGAAAAATGTCAATAGTTTTTGTTCTGTACAAGTTATAATGTTTATTCCTGTGCTCCAGGACTCCAAAGACATGAACAAACTATTTTCCAGAGGAAATTTGCTTAGCTTTTATTTATTTGTGTGTGATTTCAACAAATATTTGAGTTATTCAATTTCCGATTTATTTTTTCATTTGTCTTTATGGTCCCATAACTTATTTTACATACAGGTGACATCAATGCAACACAAATATGCTGAAAGTTCAATTTGTCCTGAAAAAAAAGAGCTGTGTCAATTGCCTGTGCACCAAAGGGTTGATGTTTTACAAGCTTTTTTAGTAAATAACACCAGACGGAAAATTAATTGTAAAAATACCCTTAGGTCTCAGAGGGTTCATTTTAAATAAGTGTCCGTCCCGGAAAAAAAAAAAACGTCGCCTGCTATATCTGCGTTATCCTTGATTTCCGCTCGTACTGCCATAGCCGTGACGTAACCATGGCGACAGACGTGGACAACTGCGTAGTGCGTAGCGTTTAGCGGCACGCAGTTCTCGTTTCTCTCAAACATAGACCATGGCAAGCAGACTTTGGGACAAACAAGGCGAACTAAAATGAGGATCAACATCAGCGTGGCGTTTCTGACATGCCGAGAGCTAGCGTCCGCGACTAACTTGGACTCGACAGAGCTTCACGAGTCACGACTCGACAGCTTTATTAGACAGGTGAGCAAATAAAACAAATCAATGTTATATAACGTTAGCTCAACATGATGAATATGGTCAGTATGTTTGTTCTAGCTGACTGCTAGTTTCGATTAGCAAACGAACTAACACGTAGTATAACATTATAACTTTCAACACACGTTTAAATGCCGTTTAGTGTGATCGTGTAACGTTGGAGCAAGTGAAGCAGCGCTCACACGTTTAGTTCGTCTAATAAACTGAGTAATCCAGCACTCGCGGGTAACTTAGTTCGGTAGAATTAAACGTCTTCATTCCTTTATATCCGCGGGACTCGTGTGTGAGATCCGTCTCTTTAGCAATCGCGCCCTGCTTCATATCACTGTAATGTTAAAACACATGAATGTTTGCACTCATCCATAAACATTATTAGAGCAAATCCCATCATTCAGCTCGTCACTGCGTCATCAACCTACGCCTGTGTTATTGATGGAAACTGCGCCCTCTTGTGGCGAAAAAACCTTCATATTGTGCCTTTAATGAATGTGCTATAATCACTCCTGCCATTAATACACCTACTCAAGGCGGCAGTGTGAGTCCTAATGTTTCTGGCTTTTCTGAGGGAAAAAGGATTTAGAAACTGAAAAATAGCTTGACTCGATATAAACCAAAAAACAACACGCGATTCATTCAAGACCCGCAAGAGCCAATTTAAGAGCCGCAGCTTAAGTGATTTATAAATCACACCCATATGAGATGTTTGACTACACTCAAGTAATTTTTTAATCTTGTTACAGTGAAATGTAACTGTTTCTCAGCCACTGATTGGATGAGAACTATTAGAATTGTCCGGGACTATTAGAACACAGGCGAAGAAGAAGCAGAAACTAGTTTAGATCTGGAGATGCTGTGGTAATAATATATTTTAATAAAAAGAAAAAAAAATTACCCTATTGATAACAGTTCATTTTATTTTTAACATCTATATCTACAGTAAATAATATTTCTCCATATTTTAATATGTTTTATTCAAGTAATGATTCTTTTTTTTTTTTTTTTTTTAAAGGTAGACAAAAAGCTGTAAAATAATTTCTGGTTTGCACTTTCAGCACGCTCAGTCTCAGAGAGGATTGTGGGTAAAAGTAGTGAACGAATTTAGGGAATGATATCGTTCACTCAGAATTCGGACACCACTACAAAATGGCCGACACCATATAGTGATTTCAGACACAGCGAAGCAGAATGTAAAATAACACGATCACCAACATTAAACAGCATATAGATCAAAATGTTCCAGAATGAAACGTTGATCATGAAGTGGAATCGCCTGTAAGTTTTGTGTGTGTTGATGAACTCAACTTTGATCATCGCTCAGTCGCAATCTTTGGCTAATACTGGATTTTCTCAGCTTTTTCCTTTCTTTTTCTTTTTTTTTGTTACCCAAAAGTGGGTAACATTTTCTTCATTTTAGTGTGTTTTTTGACTAACACTAGACTTTCGAAATATTGACTGTTTACATATTTCACTGTTTACATCATTCAACAAAATATTCAGAGAGCCATGAAAGTTTCATGAATATCTGAATCTTCATTGAAGCTCAGCTGGAGGAATTTCTCACACTCATACTGCAGTAAATATTACTGTGAACACCAGCAGAGCTGAGCGGAGTGAAGAAACGTATTACATCATCATATTACACAGCGTCTTGTTTATTACACAAGGCCTGTTATTAACTTAATGCATTTAGCTGCAACTAAATGATGCGATTAATCACGATTAAACATTGTAATCAATTGCCAGGCCTAATATCAATATACAGTGTTGTGACTGGATCATGTTCTCTCACACACACACACACAGGTTGGGCAGTGTGAGCATGAGTGTGGCGGATGAAGAGTCCCGCAGCGGGTCACGGGCTCGTGCGGTGGAGGTGTGCCAGTGTCCCCCTGGATATGACGGGACGTCCTGTGAGGTAAGCAATGAAGGCAAAGCTGCACAAGTGGACAGGAAACACATCTGATAGTGTGACTCGGAAGATTGAACCCTCTGACCAAACTCATATTTTTATTTCAGTTAAATTAACGTACTATTTAGTTTGATAATGTTTTTTTTATTTACTAATTCATATTTTTAGGGGATTTTATGATACTAAACTATATTTACGCTGTATTTATAATCCATTTGTTCACGTTTTTATTTTATTTTATAAAATGTCCAACTTAAACTGTGGTAAATCTTGAATGCTTTGGAGCATAAGCTTAAGTTTGATCTTTTTTAAAAAAAAAGTGAACTTGTGAAAAAATGTACACAAACACTATTTTGTGAAATATATATTTTCAAAAACTGTGCCTTAAATCTAAACCAATTTTGTTCAAAATTTGAGCCTGATATCTCAAAAAATGAGCTTTCGGTGAGAGTTTGTTTGGCCGCAGTACCAAAAGTCTCCACTGGATGAAATTTATTTCTTGACCGCGAGGAACACAAGTGTAACTATTTCTTTCAGGACCATATAACCTGATCGAACAATGTCCATGATTATTTTTTGTGTGTTCACACAGCAAGTGCCAAAACCTTTCCCAGTGTGTAAGGCGAGAATGATTTCAATGTTAAGTCAATGCAAAGACGTGTTACGCACGTAAAATATCCCTGCGGCGCGAATGAGGCGTGGAGCGCGGCACGGAAGACGCGAATACGCCTCATTCGCGCATCAAGTTCGCGCAAATTGAGCGTATGGCGCGTTAAGCGCGAATATTTAGTTAGTGCCATTTGTGCATTCACCTGTTTGACGCAAATTCGCGTCTGCCGCCCGAGTTGAAAAATCTGAACTTTGGCGTAAATTCGCGCCGCGTTAACCAATCAGGAGCCTAGCTGCTTGCTCACGTGGTGAAGTGTCTGGATGCTTCAATAAATTCTTTTGTAATATGAATAAATGCATGGTGGGATTATGCACAACAAAGCAAATATTTTATCACTTAAAACTTTATTTCTATATACGAGACATGTTCATTTTGTATTGAATGTTATTCATTAGGGTTGGGAACCGAGAACCGTTTTTTTTTCCAGAACCGGTAGTGTTTTTGAAAAAATACCGGAACTGTGCAAAATTCCCAAGTTTCGGTTCCTAAAACGGTTCTGGTGCGATATGAGGGCGAAGTCCTGGGAGTAGATTATCCTATGTTCAACTATGTTCTTCCACAAGACGCATGCACTGCCATTCTGTTTATTAACTGCTATTTAGGGCCGATTTATCCAGTAATAATGCAATAATTAAAGTCTTTATGAATCAACAATTCAAACCGTTTTTAAAAATAATCTGTTCTACACATGTGTGTGTGTTAAAGCATATTCTACCCCTTCTGAGAGGGTATCACTGTTGGAGATACAATAAAGGAGCGGTCCTAAATTATTCTAGAGAATGCAGAATTTTTTAATTTCCTTTTTATTTTATTTTTATTTTTTTTGCAAAGATTGATTAATAATATGTTGAATTTGTTTACATTACCAGTCTGTTAAACTAATTTTTCAAGTACTATAAGAAATAAACACAAAAGGGATTGTGGATTTTTCTCTTAATAATATTTTTAATTGAATGGGAACCGGAATCGGAACTGGAACCGGAAAATTTCTCACGATTCCCAACCCTATTATTCATTCCATATCTAGATTATATGAAATAGTATTATGATGTAAAGACAATAAACATATCCCAGATAGCAAACTGACATTGAATCAACGTAGAAACATGACATCGAAACAACGTTGATCCGACATTGTTTTGCTCATCGAATTAACGTTGAACCAACGTCGGACGCATCATTCTTTCAAAACTAACGGAAAATCAACATGAAATCAACGCGTTGTTTCAACGTTATGAAAGCAAACCAATTTTTTATTTCATTTAGCTTTGAAGAATGCCGCGTCTGACGTTGGCTCAACGTTAATTCGATGAGCAAAATCAACGTTGTTTCAATGTCATGAGAGACGTCGTTTCCACGTTGATTCAATGTCAGTTTGCTATCTGGGATGTGCATAAGTTCGTGTCTGGACGTGAGAGAGAAAAAAAATCACAGGACATGTTAATAACTTTTGGAAGCCGGCTCTATTTATCATCAAAACAAAAACAAATGACAGATTAGATGGATGAGGGTGATCCTCACTCTGATGCGGGACAACATGTGATCAAACTGGCCGCGGGACAGGCACTGCTGACAGCGGCCGTCATCCAGCGCAGCTCCTGGAGCGAGCAAATGGTGAAACTCGCCAAACGGTTCGCCTCCGAAGGGTCCGGTGGACACAAATACGGCGACAATGATCCCCACGCCGCTGTTCTGCTCTCCAAAGTAAATACAGAGCGGTGACTCTCTCGATGAATGCTCGGTCGACATAAAAACAATGGCCGCCAACGGATTTCGATTCTGACCCAGACAGCAAACTGACATTGAATCAACGTGGAAACGACGTCTCTCATGACATCGAAACAACGTTGATTTTGCTCATCGAATTAACGTTGAACCAACATCAGATGCGGCATTCTTCAAAGCTAAATGAAAATCGAAAATTGGTTTGCTTTCATAACGTTGAAACAACGCGTTGATTTCATGTTGATTTTCCGTTAGTTTTGAAAGAATGACGCGTCTGACGTTGGTTCAACGTTAATTCGATGAGCAAAACAATGTCGGATCAACGTTGTTTCGATGTCATATTTCCACGTTGATTCAATGTCAGTTTGCTATCTGGGGACGCGCGTAAATTTCGCTTCAAACTTTTGTTTTTACGCGCGCCAGTTTCACTCTTGACACGCGAATTAACACAAAGTAGTCAAGCGTCAAACTAGACGCGTCAGGTGCGAATTTGACGTGCTATTCGCGTCCGGTGTGAACACAGCAAAACAAATAAAGTTTTTTACAATGGTGGTTTAAATAAAACTGTGGCAAACAGCGCCATCCGGTGGAGAAGAATGGGTAACATTAGAGATGACATAATAGTACCAATCCAATGAAGAAAGAAATTCTACAAAAAACAAATGTAAAATTTTAGATCTAGAGGGTTAGGAGCCTTCATGGAGAGTTAGTAGAGTTGGCAGTGAGTGTGTGTCCCACTCAGACCAGTCCTTCAGTCTCCTTAGGGAGAGCTGTGAAAGTTTGCAATTGATTTGAAAAGCTTTAAATGATTCAGCCATACACTGTCATCATTACTCACTCCAAACCTTTATGTTGGTGATGTTTTCTGTGGAGCACAAGAAGAAAATCCCGGAGACAGGAAGAGATTGATTGAGCGACTCGTGAAACGGACGGCTCATCGGGATGGGTGTGTGTGAAACTCATTCAGTAGGGCGCTGCAGGGATGAGGTGTGTGTGTGATGAGGCCGACCCGTGAGTTCACATCATCCTGGGTCCTTTTCATTGGATTATTGCAGAAAATAAGCTGAGCGACCAACAAAAGTTTATGATTTTCACACGTTTTGTTTTTCATCGCGATAATCTACGCAACTTTTGAAGCCTGAATACAGTCGGCAGAAGAATAAAGGTTGGTTATAAACGAACAGCTCAGTCACGACTTCAACGTCGGCATCATCAAGCGTTTTCCTTGAAAGTTTGAGTTGGAATAGTTTGACTAAACACTGTGGCTGTGAAAGTGACTAGAGAGTAGATGAGTTCAGCTGTTCAAGCGCCTTTTTCAAGACAAGTATCAATGAAACATGAAAATATCTTGAGCTTACGTTCACCACAGACCTTAATTCAGCAATTTAATCAATAAAACCCATTCAAAAACTCATTGGCTTCAGGAACCGGAAGTGCTGAAATGCATCTCATTTCTGATTAAAACAAGTTATATAGTAAATATACAGTACAGTAAAGTACAGTTCTGCTCATGGATTTGTGCCATAGATTGTAACGTGTCTCACTTCCTTCCATTCAAAAAATAAAGCCAAAATGTCCAATGGGTGTTAACCTTGTACTTCCTTGTAAGGTGGAGCCACGGTATCAAGGTCAACACTCAATCGCAAACACATCTGTCAATCATGATATTACACACTGCTTTTTGTAGCATGAAATAACTAACTATAACTAAAATTACTGGAAGATCAAACACTTGAACATTCGTCAGCGAGAAACCATCTTTGGATCTGTGTAATTGGGTTTTAGTTTGGTTTATCTCCCATTCGATTACATGGAGAGGGCGGAGCTTATAACCTATACTGCAGCCCACCACCAGGGGGCGATCGAAACATTTCAGCTTCACTTTCAGGACGTGTGCAACACACGCGATCAGTTGTAGTTTACCTCCTGCTAAACCAAGCCCGTTTCTCAAGGATTCCAGCTGGTAAAGCGGCACATATAGACACTACCCAGCAAGCAATTTTGTGTTTTAAAAACATCTAATTCCTGTCCAAACGCAGCCCAGACGTCTAGGCTAAAACAAGGCAAAATTTAGTGAAAATTTAATACTGTAGATGCAGTGTTGTAGTCGAGACCACCTCACTCGAGTCCGAGTCAACACCGAGACCAGAGAGAGTCGAGTCCGAGTCAAGACCGAGTCCATAGAGAGTCGAGTCCGAGACCAGAGGCGGTCGAGTCCGAGTCAAGACCGAGACCAGAGAGAGTCGAGTCCGAGTCGAGTCCGAGACCAGATACGGTCGAGTCTGAGTCAAGACCGAGACCAGACAGTTTCGAGTCGAGTCCGAGTCGAGACGGAGACCAGAGAGAGTCGAGTCCGAGTCGAGTCCGAGACCAGAGACGGTCGAGTCCGAGTCGAGTCCGAGACCAGAGACGGTCAAATCCGAGTCGAGACCGAGACCAGAGAGAGTCGAGTCCGAGTCGAGTCCGAGTCAAGACCGAGACCAGAGAGAGTCGAGTCCGAGTCGAGTCCGAGTCAAGACCGAGTCCATAGAGAGTCGAGTCCGAGACCAGAGACGGTCGAGTCCGAGTCAAGACCGAGACCAGAGAGAGTCGAGTCCAAGTCGAGTCCGAG